TTTTCATGATGTCGGCACAAGTGGTCACCAGTGGGTCTAGGTCAGAATGATTGCGATGGTCTATCTCAGCCGATGCATCCAACAACAATCGTACTATCAGGATCGGCCCCTGGACAGTTCGGCGCTGGCGAAAGCCAAACTGTGTGGGAGGTAGAATTCGATGCTCATCCGCGTATGATAACAATCGTTTCGCAACAAGGCGTGCTACTTTGCGTAAGATAACATTGATAAGCTCAATCGGTCGATACATGCTCGGGTTTGCCCGATACTCCTTTTCGTTTCCGTAAAAATACTCCCAAGGTTGTTGTCGCACAAGGTTCCGATTCGGTATGGGGCGTGCGCCACAGAGCCTGGACGATGGTGATAGTCTCGCTCATGAGTTCCTCGCCCGCATTTCGTATCATAGGTATCGCGATCTCGCCCTTGCCTGCAGCGCTCTCCCTCATCTCCAAGATAGCGCACCTCACTCCATCCTTGGTGGGAACCTCTCCGAGCGAGGGGTACGTGAGAAGCGTAGGTAGACCACGTTGTAGGACAGCATCTCCGACTTGGCCTGGAGCGCCGCTTACGCTCTTGAGGTGTTTCATCATCGTCTCGGCCGTGACCTGCTCTTGGCCTTCTCTGGACTTCTCATGCACGTACACCCGAAACTGTTTGAGGTCCCGATAGAAGGCCCCCCAGTCATCTGTTGCCGCAAATTTCATAAGGTCCGATATGATTGGCCTCGCCCGCTTGTGACGTGCACGATGTTTGAATCGTAACAGCTGACGTCCAATCTGACGATGTGCCAATTCGATCTTCTGCTCGTCTCCATTGGTGTTGGCCTGCTACCACTTCTCCCACATAGCAGCCTTCTCTCGTCCGAGCTTTTGGATGCGCAGCATAGCTTCATCATTCTATGGGGTGCCAAGCTTTTGGCAGGATGTGCCACGGCCCAGTGTCGTTTCCGCTGCATCCACCATCACTTGTGCAGTCTGCGCCCAAGTCATGGTAGGTTGTTATGCCGCTGCCCCTTGCTTGATATCCTCAACTCGAATGTGGTCCAAGTCTTCTGCCGCCTCTCGACCTGGAGGGTCGCCAGCTTGTGGCACAGGTATCGGGGGTAAATGCGAGGAAACCGCGCGCGGCGGTGGCAGCCCAGGGGGGAATACGAAACATGATATCCTCAAGGGAGGGCCAGGTTCATCAGCTAGCTTCCGATCGAGGTCCTCAAAGGGGTCAACATCCATGTCATCAAGGTTCCTGATTGGGCGACCCGTTCGAGCAACCTTCTCCTGGATAGTCTGGGTCTCAAGGTGCAGAGGAGCCTGCGACGCCAATGGCGCAGGCCCCAAAGCATTGAGGTGGTTTGCCGCCGAGAGGCCAGGCATCCCAACAGACAACTCTCCTGTCCCAGGGCGCAGAGGAGCCCGACCCACGGGATCCAAAGCATTAAGGTGGTGTGCCGCCGAAAGATCAGGAAACCCAACAGACGACTCCCCCGCCCCAAGATGCAGAGGATCCCGCGGAGCGGGGCCCAGAGCATTAAGGTGGCTTGCCGCCGAGGGATTGGTGGCCCAATTTCTGCCGAACCCGATGCCGATCGCGCGCCCGAAGGAGCCGTCCTCAAAGTTGTGGTGCCTCAGGTCGCCTCCCAGAGCTTCAGCTTCATCTTACATCCTTCATCTGCTGCTGCGTCGGCTCGATCGTTGCCCTGATCCCCTGAATGACCGTTGACACGTGCCATGACGAAGCTTCGTGTCCGCCTCACTCTTCTGTAGAACGCCCTGTCGGTACTGATAAGTAGATTGTTGTTACACGGCCTCCAGCTTCCAGCAACCATATTCATAGCATAGTTTGGATCGGAGTGTAGTGTGATGCAGTCATACTCCGATGCATTGTCCAGGACCCACCACATCGCCATGATCATAGTTGACAGATCGCCCGCGTTGTTGGTCAGCACCTCCGCTCCCAAGAACAGATGTTGCAGCTCAGGTGTCTGTTATATGACCACGGGTCCATGATAATCTTTCCACACCAATTGCGACGTTTCGATAATTGTCACCCCCCACCCAGCGTTGCCATCTGCACCTGAGCCGTCGGTAACGATGTGATAGTGGTGCATCTCCTCGCCCAAGGTCTGCGATGTTCACGCGGTAGCTCAACGGTGTTCTTGACGTGCGGGGCGCCAGGTAGAGTGTGTCGACAGTAGTTTCTGAACCTCGTCCCGATATACATGTCGAAGTCGTTCAGTTTCTGGTGATGGGCCTCTCATGTTGCACACTGCCAACGGAGCCACTTGCTTTTCTTCCCGTGCCTGACGTCGCCGATGCTCATAGTGTGTTTTGCGTGCTGCACGGAAGTGATGGGAACTAGGTGAGGCCAATTCCAAGTACAGGTGTTTGCTCATGTGCTCCGAAATACCTCAATGCTTCGTCTCAAGAACTTGGGTTGCTTTGCGCATGCCTGGGCCCAATACAAACTTGTCAATATCACACCAAGTGCCTGTACTCTTGCGCCCCCACGTCCCACGGTTCAGAATGTTATAGAAGGAGTCGGCGTTGATGAGGTTGGAGGTAGAGGAGACCCAGCGGACGAACGCGTTGCCACTTTCCGTGGTTGTCTGCTTCATTAATTCTGACCCTATCCGAATGTCATTGCCGATCGTGTCTCGTCCCACATGGCCGTTCCAATCTCCGCCAATCAGCTCCGATCCAGGTCGTAGCTGTTGGCAACGATGTCGGGGATCGTTCAGGCCCGAATACACGTGTGTGCGATGCGTTGCGGAACAATTCGTTGGCATATACATATATATACAGATCTGATCGACAGCCAGTGATGTCAGCCCACCAATAAATGTGTTGTCATGCGGCGATCTTCCCACAACACTACGAGCGCACCGTCAAATCTGCACATAGACGACGCTTCTCTCCATACCATCAAAGAAGAGGTATCCAACGAGACCCCGCACAACTCAGTCATGATGATGGTGAAGTCCTCCACCAACACTACTGTGGCGTACCCGTCCTCCAAAAAAAGTAGTTTTGTACAGCTCACTGAGAGTCGATCTATTTATTGTGTGCTCCCGCTGCTGCACTATCCAGATCTGCAATGTGTTACGATGTTCGTAGCGAGCCCAAATCAATCTCTCCGTGTTGACACTCGCCAATCGCACTCGGCGCGATAAAGGTCTCCGTGACAATCTCGAGAGATGACGAATTCTGAAGTGGTGTCGCCCCCCGCGTACAGCGCTCACGCCAAACACCGACACGTAAGGCAGCCGATCCGATATGCATGCAACCTTCTCGGCAGTGTCATGATGTGCCCCTTTGGGCACAGCCACCTCAACGCCACTGCGAAACAATCAAGAAAGGCGCGTTTTGGTAGTCGTGCACTTCATCATATATACTGCAGGATCTTAGGCAGTTCCATATCCAAATACTTTGAAGAGGTCATGGTGCACTGCTTCTCCGTGAGCCCCTGAGAGGCGTCCTGCCACACGGCCTATCCCTCCTCCTCCTCCTCCACCTCCTCCACCTCCTCCTCCTCCCTCCTCCTCCTCCATCTCCTCCTCCCCATCCTCCACCTCTTCCTCCTCCTCCTCCCGAAAACCCAGGGGGGGGCAGACGAAAAATCCCACCAGCCTTAAGTCGGGCATGGAATATTCGAAGATAGTCAACAAAATAGTCTCGGGACGAGTTTGGACTATTTGTGGGTATTTTTTTATATGTGTTGACTATTTTTTAATGTTCGTCCAGAATCTGCCTGCAGAACGACACGCCCGACCTAACACCAGCCTTTTTGTCAGGCGATCGCAAACATGCATCAAGGGGGCGTGGATTAGCGACGGGCCCCGTCTCCATGAGAGAAATCGCGGATCTCCGCCGCCGAGCCAGTCGGCGCCGGCCGCATGTTGGGGAGGGCCCCCCCCCCCCCCCATCCATGGATTTGGCGGCCCTTCGCCAGATCCATGGATCGCCAATCCATGTTTGCGCGCCCCCGATTTGGGGCGCAGGTGGTACAGCAAGACCGCTCCTTCTTCTTTCAAACCCCTGCTTGGGGTATCTCTGGACTGGTGGGTGTTTGGTTTGACGTGCTGCGTTGGGATTCACGGGTTACGTTGGGACTGACGGGATAGGCGCGGGGAGCCGATGTGTTGGGATTGATAGGGCGTGTGGGGATCGGGACGTCGTCGGACTTCGCCAGGATCGACAGGGTATGTCCGGATTGAGGGGTATGATGGGGTATGTTGGAATTGTCGTTTAGGATAGTGTTGACGGGGTGTGTCGGGATTGACGGGGTATGTTTGGCGAAGCGGCGTGTCAGATTTGACGGGGTAGGTTGGGATTGGCAGGGTATGCAGGAAGTAACGAAGATTCAACATGTTTACGCAAAATCCGCCGATCTTGAAATCTTCTGCTCTTTGGGAAGGGACTATCGCGCCACGTCCTTTCCTGGGCCTCTCCGGAGGCACTCTTGGGGCAGCCTAGGCCGTTTTGGCTGAAGATTGCCTGACTCGTAAACCAGGCAACGGGGGCCCTAAACGGGGTACGACGACGGAGCCGGCGTGTTCGTTTCGGCGGTTTGGGAGGCTTCCTTGGAGGTTCTCGTCGCCACATTTGAGTGCAGCTCGCACAATTTGCTATGATGAGCCCCTGTGAGGGGTCCGACGACGTCGGCGTCTTCGTCTTGGATGTTGTTTTGAGCGTTTCTCGAGGTTTTCGTCGCCACCGCTGAACGCAGCTAGACAAACTGGCCAGGATAACCCCCTCGAGGGTTCGAGGTGCCTCGCGAGAGGTGGCCAGCCCTTCTCGCTTGAGACATCCCTGCCACTCTCGGCTCAGAGATGCCCTGACCTGAAGCGGTCCAGCCCGTTTCACTTGAGACGTCCTCGCAATCGTATGTTCGGAGATGCCACGCGAGAGGCCTAGCCAGACTCGCCCGAGCCATCTTCGGAACTCTGGGACTAGCGATGCCATGCCCTTTTCTGAGGTGGTCCAGCTGGTCTCGCCTGAGACATCCTCGCTATGGGCTCGGAGATGCCTTGACCTGACGTGCTCCAGCACATTCCAGCAATTCTGGGACGAAAAATGCGCTGTTCTGAAATAGTCCAGCCCGTTTCGCCTGAGACATCTTCGCTATTCTGGGACTCGGGATTTGTTGTTGCTGCCTGGCACACCACCTGGACTGGCCGCTCAGGGAGCGGCCCACCTCCCGAACGAAGGAGGGCGCCAAAGGTGCTTACATGAATTCACATGCAGCCAGACATCGCAGCAAAAGGGCGGCAGGCCACCATGGCCAACAAGGTATCTGTTGTCCGCTGCGAGGTGCCCAGGGATGCCACTTCCCAAACACGGCCGCCCACGCCACGCCCAGTTGACCGCTGGCCTCAGGCTGTAGTCACACCACGGCCCAAGGACCTCGGTTCCCACAACACTCCCCAGGGAGGGGACAATCGCACTGTGTATTGGAAAACGACAAGATGGCAGACGAGGAACATGATTTCGAGATGGATGTCACGCTAGCCGTAGACGACCAGACGCGGCACTGGCTTTATTTCCAGCGCGAGCGCACAGAAGCCGAGCGCGCCGCCTCGCTGCATAAGACAGACGTTGGCGGAGCCTCGGTGATAGTGAAGCAGAAGATACGCGACGGTCGCGGCAAGAATTTCAAGCTGGACGAGACCTCGTTTGAGCTGATCGACGCGCCGACCAGTTTGTCGACCGATGATTTCTACGCCATGAGCAAGAATCCTACCCTGGTCGAGAAGTATCGCGTGGAAGTGGCGGAATTGGTGAAGAAGAAGTTGAAGTGTGATGTGGTGCATTGCTTTCACCACCAGGTGCGATGCGCGCCGAAGGCAGCACTTTCCGACGGGAGCATCGCTGGCTACGCAGGCGGTGGTCCTCATACTGATTCCAGTGCCATCAGTGGGGATCAATTGGCACTCTCGACAGTGGCGCAGATCGAGCGCGCTAATCCAGCCAATGCGGGCCCGTTCAAACGGTACTTGTACCTTAACCTATGGCGTAACATCTCGGACGAGCCGATAGAAAACGACCACCTTGCGGTGCTCGACGAGCGCACGGTCGCGAAGCCCGATGACTACATAGTGAAGGATTTGTACGGCCCGGGCTACGAGCTTGTGCAGTACGGGTTGAACGCGAGGCACAAAGACCATCACCGTTGGTATTATTTCCCGAAGATGACGAAGAACGAGGGTATCCTGTTCAAGCAAGTCGATAGCGATTTCACACTCGCGGGCCGGACCTGCTTCCACATGAGCGCGCGGAACCCAGGCGTTCAAGAAAAGCACCCGCGCGAGTCCATCGAGTTGCGGATGATGTGTTTCTGGCGGGAGGCGGCGGTGGATTCGATGCCCACGGAGGCGAACGTACGCCAAGAGCTGATCCAGACGAAGACTGCCGGCCCTCTCGAGGACGCAGGGTTGTGGACGCTCGGAAGGGCGTTCCTTTCGCGGCTTTTGGGGCTCGCTTTGTTCGGCCGAGGTGGCGCTTCTTCTGGGCAGGCGTACGGCGGCGACCCGAAGCCCTATGCCGCGAAATTGATCGCTGCGGTCGAGGCCCTCCCGAAGTGGCCGGCTGCGGGGCGCCAGTGGGCCTCACAGGTGGTCACGAGCCAGGGGCTGGAGCAGGGGATCGTCACGATCACGCACACGCTCGCGGAGGACAAGACCGGGCATTTCGGTACGAAACATTTTTCGAAGGAGGTTCAACAAGTTATCGCAGAGGCCGCGCTGGGGGACGAGAAGTACATGGAGACAGCCCGCAAGGCCATCGGTAATCTGGCGGATAACTGAGCGCACACTCATTGGATCGTTGCGCAGATTGTTGCTACTGCAGCAAGAGTACAGTTGCACCGATCATGAATAAATCTCCCTCGTGCTTTTGACCCAGCGCACTGTCAGCAGGTTCCAGAGAGCTGGCCAAGCTCCTGGCAGCTGATAAAACAAGAGTCGCAAGCACGGTCAGACGTGTAGGATGTAGGGCTTGAATCTGCCTCACCCCCCAGGGTTCACAGCTGGCAGTGTACAGGCGCTACGTCGTGTTCGTCCGTTTGGGCTTGCGCAGGCCGTGCTTTCGGCTTGGTAGTGTCTGCCCTGGGGGCGCACATGAACGTCACCCGATTGGCACGCCACCTCCTCGCTACCTACCGCCTAAGCTTGTCTGCAACGATTGACAGCCACGGCCAGCCAAGAGTGGGCAACGACAGCCCTGGCCAGGCAAGCCGTTGGCGCCGATCCAGACATTCGAATCAAAAGCGGCATAAAGATACATGTTCGGAGGTCCGCGCAGGTTTCTTGTGCTACAAGGGTGTCGGTCTTCTTCGGGGAGGATGAGGAAGTGGAGGAGGACAACGACGACGACGTCGACAACGACGACGACAGGGCGGAGGAGGAGGATGAGGAGGAGGAGGAGGAGGAGGAGGAGGGGGCGGAGGAGAAGGCGGAGAAGGAAGACACGTGATTGTGTGTGTGGTGCCTCGCCTCCACCTTGCGGCCCCCGGGTCGTCGCGTCGCCTATGTAAATTCCAAGGTCGAGGTTCACGTACAAAGTCTGACACTCAGGTACCAATTAAACTCCGAGGCCGATTTGCCCACATCAATTCCGAGACTTCTGCACACATGCAAATACCAAGGCCAAGGTGCCCATGTAGATTCCAAGGCCGAGATCCCCATACAAATCCCTAAGCCGAGGTGCTTCAATGAGGTTGCTGAACAGCCCCGATGCAGTTCGAAAAAGGAAGAGGATGCGACTGGACTCTGAAAGCCCACGTGCGTAGTGATCGACTGGAACTTGAGCGCGCGCGAAACGCGCACAATGGCTCTAGTATGTACGTGCATGTATGTAAGTATGTGTGAATACATATATGATTGTGTACGTGTACGTCTAAGTATGCAACTCTATATATATATATAGAAATCTATAATATATATATATACATATATATATATATATCGCAGAAGAAGGGAAGTGAAGGGAAGGGAGATATTGGAAGAGGTGAGGTGGTACGAGAAAGAGGAGAAGATACGGCCCCACACCTTCTCTTGCCAGATCCTGGTTGACCCCACCCCCTGGTCGCCCAGACCCCTTCCTTCGGGATCACGCCGCATGGAGCCCCCCATCCGTTGGAGCCCCATGGACACGTGCCCTTGACCCCCCTCCCTGCATCGCAGCCTTGGCCCCACGGGGGCACGAAGGCTGAGGAGGAGGGGGATGAGGAAGGCCACGGCGTGCAGGAGAGCACGGAACGCCACATCCGCGTCGTGTCGGAGCAGATTGACGAGCTCGACAGACGCTTGGTCGAGGAGCTCTGGAGGGCTTACGGACAGCAGTCACGTGGCCAGCCCGTCGAATCGATTTGGGGCGATTCTCGAACCGCTTCTGAAGTACTTCGTGAGAGTAACCTTCGAGAGGTTGTCGAGTGGCGGTTGGACGGCGTTTCGAGCGGTATTCGAGCAGTGTTCGGGTGGTTCGCGATGTGTTCCCGACGGCATTCGCATTTTCCCTCGTGGTCCGCGGGTCTGTCCCGACCTCTTCTTCTTCTTCTTCCTCCTCTTCCTCCTCCCTCCTCCTCTTCTTCCTCCTCCCACCTCTTCCTCCTCCCTCCTCCTCCTCCTCCGCCTCCTCCTCCTCCCTCCTCCTCCTCCTCCTCCTCCTCCTCCCTCCTCCTCCTCCTCCTCCTCCTCCTCCTCCTCCTCCTCTTTTCCGTGGACAGTTTGCCTCAAGATGCATGGATGGCTCCCTTGCGGACCACACGGATACCGCTGATCCGCAAGTTTGGTCTGGTCCGCCTCAGCCCTTGCCCGCCTCCCGAGCCTGCTGGTGAGCAGATCTTCGTTGCTTCAAACAGTGCAGCGACATGCCACCCCGGGACGGAGGCTGCATCCGAGACCCGTGGGCCTGGAGGGGACAGCCCGGCGCCCAGCAGTGGAAGTGTACGCCGTGCGGATGTGCAAAAGACTTGGGGAAAGGGAGACGGCGCAAACTGCTTTGCACCTCGCGCTGACCGGCCAACGGACGCGAAGCCCAGGCTTCCTTGGGGGAAGTGGGGTAGTCGCGAAGTGTCGGCGAGCAAATTAGGTCCTTCTCTTGCTGTTCAGGATGGCAGTCCCAGCTCAGGTGCCAGCCTCGACAAATTGGGAGCAGAGGAGTTCAACAATACGCTGGCAGCCGAAATGGGAGACGAAGAGCTGAAGAAAAGGTGCGAGGATCGTGCGGCACAGCTTGTCAATGAGCCAGCACCTCCCAAACCCAGGCCCTTGGAGCTCCGGCTCGCCGACGTCTCGAGACAGGAACCGCCATGTCGAAAAGCTTCTGGAAGCATTCGGCAACATGGACCGCTGGTAGCATCAGCCACACGCAGAGGGCGGTTGGGGGAGGGGGGAGGGCTTCTTAGAAGCACCCATGCTTCTTAGAATCAGGCGATCGCAAACATGGATCAAGGGGGCGTGGATTAGCGACGGATTCCGTTTCCATGAGAAATCGCGGAGTTCCGCCGCCGAGCGAGGCGGCACCGGCCGAATTTTGGGGGAGGGCACCTCCCCCGATCCATGGATTTGGCGACCGCGCGCCAAATCCGTGGATCGCTAATCCATGTTTGCGCGCCCCCGAAAGGAGCAGCCTCCTTCTAAGAAGCCCCCCCCCTCCCTCCACCCCCCTGTGCGCGCCGCTGGTAGCAAGCGCTGCAGGAGCACACACTCGGCCTGCCGCGCGCGCCCGCGCCCGCGCGCACGGCTGCCGCGCCCCGCCGCGCATGTCCGGGGCGCCGCTCGCCTCGGGCGCGCGGCGGCGGCAGGCGGCCGCGGGACACGCGAGGCACTGGGCTCGAAGGGAAAAGGCACGATGAGAAACGTTCGGAGGTCCGCGCGGATTCCTTGGATATCGGCGTTGGATTTATGGCGGGGCCCGACATGTATAGATCACGTGCCCCCATCCTTCCTCCTGTCTTCTCCTCCGGCGCTGCCCCTGGCGCGCTCCGCGCGCTGGGGAGTGGGGGCCAGCGCCGACCCACGAACTCCGCGCGGGCCTCCCAAGGTGCGGCGGCGGCCGGCAGCGGGAGCGGCCGGGCACCACGCAGCTCGGGGCAGCGCCGCGCTGGCCGGCGGCACCGGGGGCGGGACGGCGGGCCCCCGCGGCGCGACGGCGGCAGCTCGCGGCTGGCAGGCGGGCGGGCCAGGCGGGCGGCAGGAGCCGGGCCGACCTCTGGGAGCGGAGGCCGCCAGGCGCTCGGCGCGGCGCCCGAGGCCCCCGGGGGGGGCCCGGAACGAAGCGGGCCCCGTGCGACGGAGACCAAAACTCCACGCGCAAAGTGCGGGAGGAGGGAGCAGCGGGGGGCAGCGAGCTCGGCGGGGGGCCCGTTGGAAGCCGAGCCCGACGCCGCGGCCGACGCCGTGCCCGACGCCAAGCATGGGCGAGCATGGAGGCGATGCCACCAGGGCGCACACGGCGATCCAGCAGGCGTGGCGGCGGCTTTGCTGAAGCTGCGACGCCAGAGACGCCGCGTCACAGCGCGCGATGGCACGTCGCCTCGAGGTGCTCGCGGCCCCGAAGGATGAGAGCGCCACTCTGCTGCAGGCATCACGGACCCTTTGCACCAGGGGCTGAGGGTAACGCGGGCGCCAGGTCCGGCGAGCACACTGCCCGCCGCCTGGCGTTGCGTGTGGTACAGAAGGCGCACTGTCCCCCCCTTCGGTAGCTCGAAGTGGTCGCACACCTTGCAGTCCACCGGGTCCCGGCGCCCGGGGCCTCCTCCGCACTCCTCGGGGCGAAGACTATTTGCGCTTCGGGCCTCTTCCCGCGTTCCTCCTCCGCGGCCGCCCTCCACTTTCCCTTAGTCGCTCTTGTGCGCCCGTAGTTCCAGCGCGGCCCCCGGCTATCCGAGCGCCCTGCGTACACTAGGCGCGCCAGATAAGAATCCAGCCTGCCTTGGGTGCCCCGCGGAAGGCCCCGAGGACCTAAAGAAGTGGTGGGGCACCTTGGGAAGCTGAAAGATGGATGGCGCACGTGCCCCTAGGTCTGTCGTTGCATAGGTCAAGATGTTGTACAGCACGCGCGTGCGACATTCGAGGAAAAAACACACACATGAACATAAACTGTTGGCGCTCCGCGCGGATTTCTTGGATCCGCGCTGGGCCTCCCTGCGGCGCCTCCTCAGCCGCCCCTGGCGCGCTCCGCGCGCCGGGCGCCAAGGAGGGGGGCTCAGCGCGAATCCGAGAAGTCTGCGCGGAGCGCCAAAATAGCAGAGCACGGGCGCCGGCTTGCAGCGACAGGGTGTTTTTACCTAACAGCGAAGACTGATAGGTTTCTAGTGGTCTAAAAAGAGCTCACAGATCACTCCACAGGGGGGTCCGGGCAGGTGTTGGGGCGTTTCCGGGCGGCATGAGCCGGGCTCGTTTTTCACCAACAGTCACACACTTCGTGCTCTTCGCCTTCCCAGAACTCCATTCCCAGGCCACATTCTGGGGGGCCGGATGCAACTGTAGGCCACTTCGTGCTCTTCGACATCCCAGAACGCCATTCCCGGGCCACATTCTGGGGGGCCGGATGCAACTGTAGGCCACTTCGTGCTCTTCGACATCCCAGAACGCCATTCCCGGGCCACATTCTGGATGCCCGGAGCCAACTGTAGGCCACTTCGTGTTCTTCCATTTCCCAGAACTCCATTCCCGGGCCACATTTTGGATGCCCGGAGCCAACTGTAAGCCACTTCGTGCTCTTCGAGTTCCCAGAACTCCATTCCTGGGCTACATTTTGGATGCCCAGAGCCAACTCTAGTCCACTTCCTGGTCTTCGAGTTCCCAGAACTCCATTGCCGGGCAACATTTTGAATAGCCAGACGCTTCATATTCCTTCCGCCACAGCTGTGTTTGGTTCAGGACTTGCTAGTGACACTGCAGTCCTCTGCATTCAATTGGCCACTACATTCATTCACTGCAGTCCACTGAGTTTTGATTGCAATGGCGTTCCCCTGGCCGTACCCCCATGTCCAACGTTCATCCGCAGCCTCTGCTCCGCGAGGCTCGTCCGAAGTGTCGCCGCCTCGCGGTGCTTCTCAGCCTGCGCCGCCTCGCGGTGCTTCTCAGCCTGCGGAGGAAGGTGGACAGACGCCTGGTTCTGGCGCTGTGCAGCCTGCGTCTTTCACGGTCGCCTCGTTCAATTTCGGGTTCGAGCAGGGCATGATGACTGGTAAGCAGGCGGCCACTCACTGCGCTAACTTCGGAAGGTTGTGCGCCAAGATAGTGGAGACCGCTGATGCTGATATGGTCTGTGGCTGCGAGGTCGGTGCGTTCCGTGAAGGCTTTCGCCG